GAGAGCCTGAAGGACCCCTTTGCAACATTGCATCATTGTTGACGACAGAATCTCGAACTTTGCCAGACAGGTCCTTTATCTGCAAAATTTCCCGACTATTTCCAAAAGGGTGTTTCGAAAAATTAAAAATCTTTTCCTTTTTAAAAAGAAGACGTTTGCTCACGTGGGAAATCTGACCACAAATATTTCACCCACACCTAATTTGAGGGAAGGGAAAAACATTTGTGGCAGTCCCAAACCCGATGCATGAATTCATGGTGTCTGTCCAGGGTGGTCACCCTGTCTGACTCAAGCTTGTTCATGAATCTGCTGCACATTGTACCATAGATAGTTGGAGGTGGAACCCATGATTTCCTTCTTATTTATCAAGATATTATATATATAATGTATATGCTTTTTAATTGAAATCGAATGGAAATGACTCGACGTGGGTTTTCTTGATCTTGTTCCAACTTTTGATGTACACCCTCCTAATCTGTTAAGAAAGCACACGAAAAAGAGAAAGTGAATTCTCTCTCTCTCTCTCTCGTCCTTGTAGGGATGTATTCTGGATCCCCAAGGCAAGAAATTCCTCTGATTGCGAAATGCCATAAGCACACAAGATGATGGCGTCTCAAGATCAAATGACATGTCCATGGCTCTGTGTGGTTGTCACAGTACTTTGTCAGCTAATAAAGTCAAAAAACATTAAAAAGAAATATAGGAAAAAAAAACATAAAAGAGAAGAAAACGAGAGAGCCTAAACATTGCACTAAAGATCTTGCCTTTATCGTGCGTCAGATTTGACCCTTCATATCTCCATTGTACCATCCCAGACCAGCTCCCCACCAATGCACTGTCAAAAGAATCCTCTTCCCCACAGATGCTGCTGCCAATGGCAATCTTCAGGACTCTCGGGTTTGAAGTCCATGTTTGGATTCTAATGAGATGCTTTCATACAACTATAAATGAAACCGCGTATAAGTTGCTTTGTGACATCATGAAATAACCAAACGCAAAGCGATGTAAAATCAGAGGAGTTTACGCGATATGAGTACAAACCGTGCCACCAAACACTTTGGATACGTTTGGATCGAACCCTAGCAAGCAAGGGAAAGTATTTTGCGGGACGGCCTCGGGCTAGGGACTATAAAAAGATTGTCATTAGATACATATAAGAACACTATCACCCAAAACCCTAACCTCATTTCAGCTCAGCCTAACCCATCACTCCTCCAACCAACTCTATCACCCCATGTTTTTGTCATCTTCACTCCAATAATATACCAAAACCGACACCAACCCATTAAGCCAAATCATTGTCACAAACAGTATAACAAGCAACCAAAAAAATAAAAATAAAAACAGGAACAGGAATCGGTTCCCCTACTACTTGCTCTTCTTGCGCGCACACAACTTTTCAGTCGAGTGGTTTCATGTACTTCTCACGAAAGGGAGGTGGACCGAGTGTGACACAGTCTGCGCAATTATAAGAAGCGGACACGGCAACATGTGCCTATCAACATGTGCAGTGCCCATGATATCCATCCACCAGGATCTGTTCCAACGATGAATTTGTCTGAGACAAAAGAAACCCTAGAAAAACACACCCAGAAAGAGAGAAAAGAGAGAGAAAAAGAGGAGCAAAAATCACAAGTGCTTTGCCTGCTTTATCGATAGGTGAAAATCGTGGATCGTCGGTGAGGTAATCACTGAGGTGGTGCTTACAAGTCCTTGTCCATTACCCGAACTTCTCTCCAAAGTTAGATGGCGATTCTGTTCGATTGAGCCACTAGTCATCGATCACTACTTACTGACGCTTTAGCTTTTTGGTCCCATGATAAAGAATCTTGTGACATATTCTATATGGGGCTATTTACATGCCACCTTAGTCTACAAATATCTAGTGCATTATAAATGTCATTTGGTGGTTCACTATACCAAAGTCCAACCGAACCTATTCCACCCCCTTTTTTTCTGGTGGAAATTGAGCATTATTGTCGATTATAGGAATACTTTTTTGGTAAGGTAAATGCATCACTACCATCTTTGAGATAATAAAAAAAAGATCGTATTATTTATGCCCCTAACTTTATGAAGGCGCCAGAAATTTGACTTTTGAGTAGAAAACCTTTCGGCCGATCTTCTAGTCTATTCAGCCAATCTCATCTCACCCTTTTTTAACGCACAATCAATCAAAGTAGGCATTTGGTCCTAGCATTGTCATCCATGAAAATGGTGTATGTGATGCATGGTAGGGTTCCGTGATAGTTATAGGCAAGTAGTTCGATTGTCGCGCTTAATTAGTTGCAAAAAGAAAAATTAAGAACCGTGGATACATGATACATCGTTAGCGGCGATAAAGATTATTTACCATAGTAGTATCAGTTGTTTTATTCATTGTCTTGTCAAGCTTAGTCTTATTAACTAGGGGTGATCGGTTCCAGGTTGGGTAGGTTCCAGACCTGAAACCTAGAACCTACACTGTTTTTCCGGTCCGGTTTCAGGATCTATCCGAGAACCTGTTTTTCTTTTGTTCCTTTTTTAGTATCATTTTTTCTAGCAAAATAATATGAGTAGCAATGAAACGATTCAAAGTAAATGATGAATAATAAGAATTAATATCCGTCGAAAGCAACAATCCTTAAGATGAGCAATAAAAATTATTACCACCAAAAGCAATAATCCAAAATATAGTAATAGTATGATATACGATTTTTTTTTTAACACATGCTAAAAACTGATTCTAAAATCGGTCCGGGTGGGTCTTCACTTCAAACCGGAAACCAGACCAGTTCCAACCGGTTCCCAAAATATGGAACCGGTTTTAGGACCAGTTCAAACAAGAACCGGTTTCCGGACTTGTTTTTCGGGTGATTCGCTCCAGTTCCTGGGTAAACCCGGTCCGGTTGCATGCCCCTATTGTCAACTCAATATTTTAATCCTGTGCAAATGTAGGGTCTTGCGATAGTTATAGGTAATTAGTTTGATTATCGTGCTTAATTAGTTGCAAAAAGAGAAATTAAAAACCGTGGATACATGATACATCGTTGGTGACGATAAATATTATTTACTATAGTAGTATCGGTCGTTTTATTCATTGCCTTGTTAAGCTTAGTCTTATCAACTCAAAATTTTAATCCTAGGCAATTGCAGTTACTTATTACTTGGTGCTCCTTATATTTGCTGAAAAAGGCAGAGCGTGGGCTAGGTCTGATTAAAGCTAATTTGCAACATCATATAGATTTGACATTAAAATCGGGCCACGATTAAAGACCGCCAGCCAATAGCAAAGAGAGAACCCATGATGATGATGAAGATGGTGTACTTTTTCACAAAATGACTTTATTTCACTCTTTCGTGTCGAAGTGTTCTTCCGAACTTGTTCGGATAGATTTTTATTTTCATCTTTTATTTAATAAGAAATCTTACGATGGATAATCTTTCACTTTGGTTTCGTTTGCTTCGTGAAAAATACTTTTCTAGAAATAATCATTTACATCGCTTGAAATAATCATTTATTGAAAAATGTTTTCAACATTTTCGCAGATAATGAATACTTTTTCGACCATTCATTTTTGTGAATGATACAATGAATCATTTTTAAGAAAATATTTTGTAAATCATTCATTTTCCGCGAAACAAACACACCTTTTTATTAAGACCAAAACACCTAAATTTTCACACAACATAAATGTCAACACGTGAATTCATATAAATTTTTTTCATAATTTCTTGAAATTTGAAAAATATTTTAAGCTTTGGCGAAAAGCAAAAAATTACATTTTCACTTCTTAAGAAATGCAAACAAATGGGCAGCAAATTTATAAACTAACTTGTTTTGAATATTTGGGACATGCACAAGTTTTTCTCTCTTTCTTTTCGATAGAGTTTTGAGATGAGATGCGGTGGCGGGGCATTGGTCGATGGGCGGTTGCTGCGCTAGTCTCGGATGGAGAAACCGACCGATTCAGCGAGGCGATGGTGGGGGCAGCGGCAGGTAATGTTATCGATGAGCGGGGGTGGTTTGGTTAGTTTGGTTGCTGAAAAAAGTTTTCTTTTTCCTAGCCACGTTCACCAAGTTGGAATTGGTAACTTATGCAAGAATGTTACCAAAAAAAAGAAAAAAAAAGAAAAGAAAAGCAAACTCTTCGTTTTCAAAAGTGGTGGTGGGGGCAACGGTCTATGATATTCTTCCTTTTCTAATCCCAATAAACGCCCGGAAAAATGCGGGAAATTTGTTTTTGAAAAGTCATTTTGCCATAAGAACAAGGCCATTATAAACTGAAATTATTGGGATCATGTAAATTTGTGGGAGGACAAAGCATGGTCCAAGTAATCATAAATCTCATGGCACGAGATCGAAATACTCGACTAAAGCTCCGTTTATTTTACAAAAAACTTATGATTTGAAAAATATTTTCCTCTGTATAATCCCTTGTATCGTTTAAAAGAATGCATGCACAAAAAATATTTTCATCGTCTACAAAAAAGTTTATATATAAATTATTATTGATAATGAAATTATTTTTTGTTGCCTAATTATATTTTCAAGTGATATAATTCATCATTTTAGAAGAATGTTTTGTAAATCATTTATCTCCGCGAAACAAACTAATGACATTTTTTAGCATTAAGTCATCGCTGGATCCCACTCGTCAAGGTCATCCCCTCGAATAGTATGATTCCAAACTTTTCTCAATTGTAAAAAATCCCTTGAAATTTCCACAAATTTCGAGAACTTCTGGGAGCAACAACAACTAAGAAAAAAAAAGGAAAAAAAAAAGATTTTAAAAAATACCCTTTGGTAAGACTTTCTTGAAATAACAAGAAATGTCCCTAAGTAGACACGAATAGAAAAGGCATGCACACTCAAATCAAAGTCGCACAATGCACGACGCGAAGCAGAACCTCGATTTTGGCCGATCCTATGCACAACTAAGAAGGCACGATACACGGGCACACACGCATTGATCGAAACTCCACGAAATTAGCAGAGAGATTACTACTACAAAGATTGCAACATGCAAAATGCGACATGACCAACCCTACACATCGACCGTCATCATCATGTCCATGTCCCCACGATTGCAAATTGCACTCAGGCTATGACGACAAAAGAAGCTGTTCATAGAATAAAAGAATTTATGTAATTTCCAATTTTTTTCTCCAAAAAAAAAAAAGAGGGGGTGGGGAAAAAGAAGAAGAAGAAGAAGAAGAAGAAAATGCCACGCAACTCCGTGGCCCCCATGTACAGAAAAAAACTCCATATGGGAGTCCCCTCCAAATTAAAAATAAAATCAAAAACAAAAAGAAAAGAAAAGGGGAGAATTTATATTTTTGAACGGTGAGGCCGAGGTCGATATAGTCTGGAATTTTATTATTGCCATAATAATATTCTCTTTTCTTTCAATTTTTTTTTTCTCTCCTCTTTTTTTGGGGGGCGCTCTGACCTTGCCTTGATGGGCCTGGGCCTGGGCCTCCCGCATTGGGCTCGGGTTCGGGCCTCAGGAAAGGTAGACCTCCACGCTCGAATTCCTCCCGGCGAAGCACACCGGGCAAGCCTGGACCACCGCGTCGCACTCCGCGCACACGCACAGGTGCCGGCACGGCAGCAGCACCACCGACGCCGCCCGGCTCCCGCACCCCTTGCAGCTCGGCCCCGAGGCCACGACCCGGTCCGGGTCGACGTAAGCCGACTCCGCGTCCTCCGCCGCCTGGCCCTCCGCGGCGGACCCCGGCCCGCCCCCGTCGTCCGCCGCCGCCGCCGCCGCCCCGGCCCCCCTCCGGTCCTGCCCGCTCATTATGAGCTGCTGCAATTGGGCCTGCAGCGACGCCGCGGCGGACTCCTGGGCCCGAGCCTTGGCCTGCCATACCTGGGCCTCCACGCTGAGCTGGGCGGCGCGTGCTTCGAGCTCGGCGTACCGGCGCGTGGCCTTCTCCATCTCGGCGTCCTTCTCGCGCAGCTTCCGGGCCAAGGACTCCTCCGCTATGCCCAGCAGCGCGCGGTAGTGCCTCTGCCTCTTCTCTGCTAACGTGCGCCGCAATTGCTCTCCCTGCCAAAACGACGGTATGGACACCATAAGAGAAGAGTTTTGCTATGGAATAATCGGGGAAAAAACAATCAAACCACGGATTTTCTATTCCTCAAATTCGGAAAAAAATGGTGGGGATGAAAGGAAAAGAAGAAAATGGTACCTGGGCATGGAGGAATTGGTCTATTTCATCCCTCTGTTGCTTGAATTGAGTGGCGAAATCTTCGGACAATACGGACAAGCTTGCGGATGAATTCGAAACGAGATGATTTTGTTGCTGCTGCTGTTGATGATGATTATGATGATGGTGTTCGCCGAACGATAAATGGAGACCAGTGGAGACCAGATTGGATTGGTGGTGGTGGTTGTTATTGGTATGGTTGTGGAGCTGAGTGAGGTCAATGAGCTGAGGAGGCTGAGGTTGCAATGAATACAGATGGTTGTTGGCGTTCATGGATGCAAAGTTAGTGGACGCCACTTCTGATCTTCCTCTCTTCCTCTGGTTAGCGCCTGTCGCTGCAATAACATTTCGCCACAAGATTATGAGGATCGCCCAAATCAAGAACCGATATTTGTTCGGGACGACCAAAAAAGTCGCCTTCTTTCTGGGATTGAGTTTTCGTGGGACTCACCTCCGGTGGTGAATAAGATGTGGGATTGGTCTAGGAATCCTCCTGGCTGAGGCTGCAAGGAACAATCGTTTATCTCAGGCGCATTCCTGTTCATCATCACCAAGAAAACAGAGGATAGAAAGGATGGATGGTTAGAACATCAGATGAAGATGAGATGAGACTCCAGAGAGAGAGAGAGAGAGAGAGAGAGAGAGAGAGAGAGAGGCCGAGGAATTGGTGGAGAAGAAGTAGTAGGGAGATGGGGTTGATGACGAACCTGTTGAGGAGGAGGATATTAGAAGGGTATTGAGCTTGAACGGCCATTGCAAGAGTCTCAGAGGAAATAGATGGATGGGGTCGAGGGGGGGCAGGGAGATTGGAGAGTGGGCTTGGTTTTGGTTTTGGTGGGTGGCGTTCGTAATTTGTATGAGAGGCAGATGGAGAGAGAGAGAGAGAGAGAGAGAGAGAGAGAGAGAGAGAGAGAGAGAGAGAGAGAGCCAATAAGGAGAGGCAAAAGATGAGGGTGCGGCAAACAATGTGAAGCAATAAAGGCTAAGGCATAAGAAGCATGAATAGGAGGAGGAGGAGGAGGAGGAGGAGCAGGAGCAGGAGGAGCAGAGGAAGGATGAAGATGGAAGGAGAAAGATGCCCCCTAATGCTATGCGTGCCGGGAGGCGGACTCTTCAATGAATATTTTAGCTCCGAGGGGAGATGAAAATGAAATTAATCACCACCCAATTCACGCCCTCATGCATGCCCGTAGAGAGAGAGAGAGAGAGAGAGAGAGAGAGAGAGATTTTTTGTTCTTCTCTTCTGGTTTATGCTCTGATGTCAAAAGGAAGACCACCCCCCCCCTCCACAATAACTTTGTTTTCACCTACTTTTTATTTCTTTGCTTTTTTCTTCACCTCCTTGCCTTGTTTGCTATGCTTTGTTGTCTGTCGCAAAGATAGAGAGAGAGAGAGAGAGAGAGAGAGAGAGAGAGAGGCCCTATACGTACTCTGATGTTTCCATATCCGTTCTTGGGTTGCTGACCTGTGTTCAGCCTCTTCTTGAGGAGGGAGTCTCGCAATTCACAGTAATCGAATCTTTTTGTTTGGTTCACCCATTTCTCGGGTTTCACTTTCACCCCTCCCCCTGCTTCCTTTCCCTTTCTTTCCCTCTCCCTCTCTCCCTCTCTCTCTCTGTCTCTCTCTTGGAATGGAGGAGAGAGAGAGAGAGAGAGAGAGAGAGAGAGAGAGAGAGAGAGAGAACGAGGGGGCATCGAACGAAAGAGTCAGCAGGTCAAGAAGCAGAACAGTAAAAAAACGACACGATACGAAATGGGAAACATCGAGTCCATGAACATGAACGGAATAATCAAATAGTAAAAAGGTGGCGAGGAGGTGTTTGTTGGGTTTTCTAGAGTGGTGGTGGGGGGGTTGGCTTTCGCCGCTCCCGCTGGGTTTGTTCTTGCTTTGGAACATTTCACACATTTGACAATTCTGCTGCCACCTTTTCTTTTCCTTGTTTTTTTTTATCCTAACCCCCCCTTTTTTTATTTATTTATTAATGACTGGATAAATTCATTTTTCTCGACTCGTGAATTACTCTCGGACGGCTAAAAAAAAATAAAAAATTGAGCCGTAATTCGGGGCGGGTATCTGATAGTGTATGCTTTAGTCGAACATGCCGTGTCGAATGATTGTCGATCGGAAGGAGGGCGTCGGATGTTCCGGAAGTTCTAAGGCTCGAAGTACCTCGGATTTCGTGGTTTTAAAATTATACTTGAGTTATAGAAGAAGTTGGGGTTTTGAAACTCTATTTAAATACGAATGTGTGAGCAAAAAATGCTTGTTCGAAATCGAGGGGAGTAGAAAAATAGATATCGGGAGGGGAAAATGCGACAAGTAATGGTACCCGCCGAGTCAATATTTATGTTAACTACCATTCCTACACATATGTTCGCTAAATAATACACATATGTAGGAATCTAACGTTCTTTTATATGTTTTTATGTTAGTACAACTTTTGCTTAATTTGTGAAAGATGAAAAAGGGTTAATGTGAATGATTAACACATCGCTATAAAAAAATAGGAAATGAGTTGGAGACCTATTATGTTTCGACTAGGGATTTCTGTAACGAATTCAATTGGATGATAGATTTTCATAAGCTAATCGATATGATATTTGACATGTATCTTTCGAGTTTGATAGAAAAGAGGTCCACATATATTGCTGTTTAGTCTCACCAATACTTCACATACCAAACTACTTTCCAAGGACTATATGCCCCACCTCATAAGGTTATGCCACAAAAAAGAAGAAGAAGAATTTAAGCTAGTACTGTAGCTTTGTCTTGGAGCTTAATTCTAGACAAATCAAATTCCTCAAAGATGTAGTCACGAATGATGGAAACTTGTAGTAATTTTGGAAATTTCTGGAGACTTTTACAATTATTCAAGAGAAAAAGAAGAAGAGAGAATCCATGTTAGCTGTCCGGTTTCTCCTTTTTCCTTTTCCTTCCTCTCTATTTTGATCATGCTTTGGTGTGTTTGAATTTTACTTGGTTTTGAAGATTCAAACTTCTCTCCCCCAACAGCTATGCTTCCTCTCAATTCATTCCTTATCTTAGAAAATGGAGAAGGTGTGTGTGTGTGTGTGTTGTATCATTCCTTCTGACCTAATTTCATGGGTTGTTAGTTGAGTCCTCTCTTTTCCATCTCCCCAAGATTTAAATGTCTGATCAAGATTTCTCCTATGACCTTGTCAGATGACTGAAACCTAACAATAACCTTAGCCCCCTTCAAAAGCCCCTAATTCAGGGTTTTCAAACTTTTGAACAAAGCAAAACACAAGGAAAAAGCAACTGGGTATTCCCTAATTTTCTCATTTATTATCCACAAAACCAAACCAATCTTGAATAGGCGGGATTGGGAGTTCTTTAATCCCCCCAGCCATTGGTAATATAAGTGGGTGGCAGTCAAGTTTTTGCCAGGTAATAACTGATGAGAGAAGTTGTGGGAGGCTCCTCCTTTTTGTTGCTTTTATTGAGGTGGACCTCCATCGAAGCAAAATACAGGGGGATTGACATTATCAATATGGTTATCCACCCTAGAAAATTGCAGAACAATATTTGGTCTAGGGTTCTGTATTTTACACTTGTGCACAGCAAGGAAGCACCTGTCTCTACCCCCCAACTTGCGTATATTGACATTTTCTAGAAAAGGCTGTGAATAGCATCCAGGAATATTATTTTGTTTTTTGTCACTTTTTCCGTTAGAAGGAAATTATATTCTCAGCAATGGAAATGCTTTCTGGAGCCCCTTGATTTAGGGTGATATGAATAAGATTAATAATTAAAAATATCGATAAACATCTACGTTCGAGAAATATTAGCTGTCTACTTAGACCTCGATATTGTTATATGAAGAGTCAAGTTGATGGTCAATGACAAATTGAAGAAAACTTTGAGAGGTGAAGATATATATGGAATATCAGAAATTTGAGAAAGGTGATTGCTCAGTTCGTCGGGACGTTGCCCCATTTTAGAATAAGCATTCCGTCGTGAGATAAACATTTTTATTTCCTTTTCTTATCTCCCCAATAAATTGAAATTAAAGCATTCGATAGAAGTTATGGATCTTAGCACAACGTATACCAACTAGAGATTAGCGCTTAGTTTTTTGTGAAGGACGGTGTTCAACTATATTAGAAGGGTTTTCCTAATGAGAATTTGAGAATACTTGTTAAGAGTAACGGTTTGTGTTTTCTACAAATTCAAGAATAAGTAACGTATGTCAATTTCATAAATATAAAGATATTGAAATATGGAAAGGTTTCTTTTGTTTAACATTCTTCAAAGGATCTTAACTAATAATGAATATTGCGAGACACCCGTCAATATGTAGAATTTACCCGTCTTCCTCCCTTCTCTCATCTAACAAAAAAGGAAGAATGACCCGTGATTTCAACCGATAAATCAATCGAAAACAAGAAGAAGATAATCTCGCAACATCTTGCATCAATGAGTGCAGTTTGGTCACCAAAAGAATCACCATTAAGTTGCCTAGTAAAAACTCTGAAAAAGAGCAGTAGCCAGAAACCAGAAGGGCGTTGCAAACAAAATTCAAAGGAAAGAGAGCGAGTCTCACAAGAAAAAGTTAAGTTGGCATTGGTGTTCGATTTCCCCGAAACCAAGAAGTGACTTTTCTTTTATTTCCCTTCTAAGCTTTAGTATGAATGTACGTGACAGAGAAAAGAGAAGCAACCAAAATAGGGCAAGAAAAGAAGAAAACTGTGAAAGAGAGTGCTTGGAATGGCATCATGCAATTTGTCTTTATTTAAGGACCCACCAACCACAAAAATAAAAAGGGGGTCGGCTTGCTCTTCTCCCCAAAAAAATCAAAATCATCTCTTGATCTATAATATCCTTTAATAAATATTCTTTGGTATGAGCGATAAATAAAAGTCCCGCACGGCTTTACGATTCTCCAACTCACAAACCCTTGTTTTCTTCTCCTAGTCAAGACACATGCTTTCCTTTTCCATTTCCCTTTCCTCTTTCTTCCTAACTTCGTCCCGTCAATATGTTTCCTCCAATTCTAGGCAATTGCTTTCACACCATGCTCGTGCCAATTTGATGCTTGTTAAGCGGCCATCACCTCGCTTTGTTTGTACCTGGTTTGGCCAATTGCATGCGCGAGATAGACGCCTAGAACGCCACATAATTATAAACCTTCATTTTCACATGTATCATTCGTTCGATGAACATTCAAGAGAAAGAGAGAGAGAGAGAGAGGGGGAGAGAAGCATTCAAGAACGAGGGTTTCGAGGTCCAAAGACCGACCCCCTAAAGGAGTTGAACGTTGATCGACGCAATGGAGCCTTGTGAATGGATCTCTCTTAAGATCTGTATTATCTCTCTTAATTTTCTTAAAGTAATAAAGTAGAACACGTTGGTTGACCTTGCACTGTTGCCCCTTTGGCTGATATTACGTGAATGAATCACTACCGGGAGTTCAAGGGCGCAATTATTGTCGAGATTGCAGAAAAAGTTTGATTAAACAAAGCAAGATGCACACAAACTTAACCTCAAAGGGATTGGCCGGAGTCATTAAAATTGCTAAAAGCATGTGTTCCCATCAAGAAGCGTGAAGTCTCAGGTTTAACTAATGCAATCTCTCGATATAAAAGTCTACGATCAAGTCATTTCCTGTGAATCCTTCAATCTCAGCGGGAGTAACGCGTTCTTGATTGCATAAAGGGCCGGGGTAGTAGTACTTCATGTGTGATATTACTTGACCTAACACGCATAGAAAGACATAAAAAAAAGGAATTCCATGCGCATATGTACATTCATAAGGTAAGTTTGAAATAAGATCGACTTTGTACATGAGATATGCTCTAATGAAATTTACGCAATGATTTTCTACTTACTATCAACACTAATTACGGAACTAAATAGAAAATCCTTCCCCAAAAATTAATTTTCGACCAAGCAGAACATTCCTTCCTGTTCACGATTTTTCGTTGCGCCGCAAAAATCATTCCAAGTTTCCATTTACCCGTAGTAAAAGAAGATAAATTTCATAACTGCATGTGCATGGATTCCACGGGTTCAACTTCAACCAGCGTCTTCTGGAATTCGTGCAAAATTAGTCAAGTCAAAACCAGCGTTATAGGCGCGTTTGAAATTATTTTCAGTTAACAAAAAAATAAATTTGTAATATGATTAATTTTTAACCCATTCTTTTAACCCATCTACAAGTTCGTCTGAATAGGCTAGCTGTCTCGTCACGGGGCTTAGGGCACAAAA